GGAGACAGCCCTGGGCTCATGGTCCAGCTTGGGTCTGCACTGTCCCACTCCCAGTCCTGCTGGGCACAGGCTGGGGACAGGAAGGAAGCTGGCTGTGCTGCTGGCCAACGTGGGGCCGGGGTGCAAGCTGCAGAATCTGTGTGGCTGTTGCCCCCTGGGCCCTGGTCCAGCCTTACCCATCCACACGCCCGCCAGTCTCTGTGTCTCACCCAAAATTCACAGTTAAAGTCATCATTTTACAGCAATGCATGCACACCCATGTTTGTAGCAGCACAACTCCAATAGCTAAATCTTAGGAGCAGTGTATATGTTCATCAACAGATGAATGGATACAAACATATATTTATACATAGTGGAGCACTATTCCACCACAAAGAGGGATAAACTTGAATCATTTCTAGGTAAGGGATGCACCTTAAGACCATAATGTTAAGTGAAATAAATCAGGCATACAAGCTTAAATATTGCATGCTTTCTCTTATACGAGAAACTCAAAGAGTAAATAAAGAGATAATAGGAAATAGAGAGATAGATCTTTCTTAAGTGGGAAGGTGACCAAGTGATGGAGAGAGGGGAGGGGTGGAGGGGTTGGGGACATAAAAAGCATTAACATGCACCAACTGCCCATGAAAATGGAATCATTATGTAGTGTAAGCATGCACTAATAAAAATGAAATACCTTATAAAAGAGATTCACAGTGACACTTGGGCCATTTTGCAAATGAGAAAGCTTGAAGTGACAGGTGGAGTCGCCTGCACAGGATCCAGCAGATGGCCTCCCCATCCCGCCAAGGCCCAGGGAGGAACAGCCCCCCACCCTAGTCTCCCCAGGGAAGCCAGGTCTGTGGGAGTTTGCACAACAGGCTCGCCCTCCTCCGGGTGTTGCCTGGCATCTGCTTTCCAGGGCTGGAGGCAGTGTGGCGCCACCTAGGGGCACAGCCCCCACTCACCAATCCCCTTCATGGCTTTGTAGAGGGTCTCAGTGTCAGGGTCTGGGTTGAAGTGGGAGCTGCCCTTCACCGTGACACCCTCCTGTTCAACCTGTGAGAGAGCCAGGCCTGCTGAGCGGGAAGGGGCAGGAGGGTGGGCAGCCTCCTGCCCACCTGGCAGCCCTTCAGGGTGGGAGGGCCCCTTTGGGGGGATTGCTGAGACCAGCTTGGCCAGCTTGACAGGTTCCAATCCCTTGGGATCTTTGCTCCACAGGCTGGAGCAGCAGGGAGTGTGAGGAGAAACCACCCAGGCTGTGCCCA